TATCGAGAGTGTGCACGTGTGGCAGCACCACCAAGATATCCGGCTAATCGTTTTCGTATGTGTTATATAGCTATCGACTAGTCACAATCGAAAAGCTATTTAATTTAAAGAATAAAGATGAATGTTGTTATGCTTATGATGAAAAACAATTTGGAGTATGAACTTTTCCTTGTAGAAGTCAGTTTGACTATAATATTTTTTCAATACCTTCGGATCTCTTATAAATATCCATTTAATCCATAATAAGTACTTTTATTGTTTAACAAAAGTTATTAATATGAAGCGTGATGCACTTTGTTGTTTATATTCTTTACAAAGAAAAATAGCAAAGTTCTAGTTAAGAACGTAATTTTCATCGACATTAGGGCGTTACAGAGGAGACGGTTTCCTCCAATCAGGTGAAATTGATTGTTATGGGTGAGAAAAATACGGCAGAGACACAATCATCCTCCGCTGTCATTGGACTACATACGAATAATGGATCATCGGTAGCTGCACTCAAAGCCACGACTCTTCTTCAACACACAGCTACATCAAACGAAAAAGAAGCCAATATACTAAAAACACCATCTACTCAACAAACAGCAGGTAACTCTGACATCTTTTTTTCAGAGATGCACAAATTTTTTAGCGACATGCTTCAGTTTGTTTTCAATAAATGTAACTATCATATTCTGAGTTTACCGTTTTAGTAACGATTACTGTTATTTTTTTCTTAAACTGTCATATTAAATGGAAGAATAGTAATAGCTTTCTTAATATCGCACGATAAAAAAGCAAGATGAGTACAATTTTTGCTATTGAAAAAAAGAATACGAAAATATATCGCAGCGTGTATTTCCATTTTACAGATGAGTTTTCTTAGAAGTCTGATCAAACTTCTCCAACACAAAGAATCGCATCAGATCAAGAAAGCGTACTTTGTTTTTTAGTAATACAGCAGAACTTATAAATAGAACTCTGCAAAACCAAAGCACTACTGTTTTTAGTTCTTCAAGCTTATAGAAAGTTCACTGAAAATTTTTAGTCCATTTTTTAGAAAATTTTGCACAAATTATAGTTTTTGATTGTGAATAAAAAATCTTTCTTAGAGATGGCCTGTAAAAACTCTAAAGGAACTTATAGAAAAATCCAATTTACTACAGTTGCTCTCCATGGACGATTTCCTTCCGGACACTTGCTCCTCGACGACATTAGCTCCCCAGCGACACTTGCTTTCTGGATAATGGCTTCTAACAGGCACTTTATCAAGACAGTAATCAAATGAGAAAGAAATATATTGAAGGAAAATGCAGATTTTATCCTAGCTTGTACCTTCACTCTCCTCCTCCTTTTCCCATTTACCTTCACTCACTTTCTCACCCACATCATCATTCTCAGATCTGTCAACTTGATGAGAGTAACTGTCACGTTGTAAGAAAAATCTCTAGATGATTTAATGTACGGATAACTTGCTTTTTCGAAGATGAAATCCATAGTGGTTTTATTTGTCATCACAAATCGCTCAAAAGACAGCTATTCTACTTCTATTTTGAAACAAATACACAACGATTATTCATAAAAAAAGTAGGTCTGCTCTAAATACTAGCTTATTTCTATATTCCAGGAACAAAAATGAACGAAGCAGAATCCAATGGAACCCAAATTAAGATTTGGAGTCAAATCGACGGAAACGATCCAGAAAAAGTGACGCTTCATGCTTCTGCTGATATTGATGACCTAAAAGAAAAACTGCTTGGACAAGGTGCCAAACGTTTTTATCATGCTTACTACAAGGGCACATCACTGGAGTCTGGAGAGAAAGTTCCACTGGATACAGTGAGTCATCAACCAGTAGTACTTGAAAAATTTAACGCAACTCAGGAAGCAGCAGCTAATAGTATATTATTCTAAGACAGAGAAATGTATAAACAACACGACATACTATTGTTGATTTTATAGATGTGTCACAAATGTCGAAGAATGCCGACAAAAAAAATACAAACCAAAGGTAAATGGGCAAATCATCATTTTTTTGTGATCATCACTTAATCGTTTTAGCAATGGCAGTAAGAACCATGACCTTTTGTGCGAGTTCTTGCTGACGCAAAATTCAATGGCTCATGTTGAACAAAAACCGGCAGGTAAGCTTTTGAGCATTTGTAGTGCTGTAAAACCAATAAAATAAAAAGCACTTTTATCTTCGATTCCTGCCACAAAAAAATGTTTTTCAACATTAAATTTTTAATAAATTTTCCCGAATGCTTAAAAGAGAATGGAGCGACATATTAAGCTGTCTCTCTTCTACGGTGTAGTCCAAAAGTAGCGTAATCGAAAAAAACTGATTATCGCGTTACAGCTCGTTTGTTCTAGCTGATTTTTCATCAGTGATAGAGATACATTCAAGCTTTATATTTATAAAGGTATGCCTCGAGAGATCCTTGTTAAGTATCACTATTGACCTCAACAAAAAATTTCATGTTTTCACAGATAGGAAAAAAACAATGTACAGGGTGGTGCAACAGTCACTTTACGGGAAATAAAATTGAATATCTCCATTACGACTCCAGCAAACGAGCTGATTTTGTTACCAATGATAGAGGTATGTTCAAGTTTTGTATCCGTAAATACTAGCTCAGAGAGACACTTTGTTAAATATATTATGATTTTTCCTGTTTGTGAATAAGTGAACTTTTTTTGTTGAGGATAATAGTGGAACTTAAGAAAGGAGCTCTCGAGGTATGTCTTTATCGATACAAAACTTGAACATGCTTCTACAATTGATAAAAACTCAGCTGGTTTGCTTGAGCCGTGATAGTGATATTCAATTTTATTTCGGTTACGCTATTTTCGAACCACTCTATAGATACTTAGCTTCTGAAAACTTTCGACATTTAGTAATAATTTTTCCGAAATGTTCTAATGTAGTTCTGATCAGTAAGTTGTCTATCATTATTTTCTGTGTTCATGATTCAAAATTTCTCGCAATTGAGAAATTTTTATAAAGACTCATCGCAAACTTCCGATCGACACCAAAACATTACGCTTGCTTAGGCGTGCACCCCGACAAAGGAAAAAGTTTACGAAAAATTCAGCCGGTACCAATCGATGTGTCGGTTTGCACTTCTAAATACAACTCTACGAGTTATATGCATTTATCAAGAAAAAATAAAAATAAGATAAGTTCTATTGAAACTTTGAATTGCAGGTACGTTGCCTAGCCTGTAAATGCCTTAAAATTCGGGTATCTACGTCAATGTACACAAATGGCAGCTCATATTTTGAATTTATTTGTTTGATGGTCAAACCTTTAATTTTATCCGGATATATGTAATCTTATTAACTCACCGCAGAAATACTGTCATTGTTAATGTAAACTATAGTATATTTATATATACAGGTTGTCCAAAAAGTATTGGGACATCTAGATGTTTTTCTAAATTTTAGCAACAAGAACAAAAGATGAAATTTTTCTCTTTTATCGAAGATAAACGTTTTCTTTTCCCCATCCTTGAATCGTCTCACGAGGACTATCGATTAATAAGAAACGAAAATTTTTATCCGTATAAGAGAGGAAAATTTCATCTTTTGTTCGCGTTGCTAAAATCTAGAAGAACAGCTAGGTGTCCCAATACTTTTGGACTATCTGTATAATCTAACAATAAAAGCTGCAGCTCCCATGTGTATCCTATGGTAATATTATTTCGAGACGGTTGGCGAAAGTGCACTGTACTTTCGCCAATGACAAAACTCTGGTCACCAGTTTACCGCGGTCTATGAAACCCCGAATAATTGCCGTATAAAACGCCACAGGATACGAAACCGTCAACATTTGTTATATTTAATAATGCGGTTTTAGTTCAGTGCGGTACAAAAACCGCGGTTAAACGTGATTATCTAAATAAAATTACAGTGCTTCCTGAGAAAACCGAGGGTTTTCTTCGAATTTTTTTCCGTGAATATCCGAAAAAAATAAACTTCACATAGTGTTTAACGTTTAATTTCGATCTTATATACGAATATCTACGTTTAAGCTTTTGAATTATTTAAATCAATAATTTATTTAAAATTAGTTACGATTTTTTTTCCTTCTTTCGTCTTAGTGAAACAAGTTCTCTTTTTGAAATACAAATAAAATTATACTATTCTTGATTTAAGCACCTACACGTGAAATAATGACCAATCAGTACGCTGCTGAATGTGAAAAACTTAAGAAATACATGAATCTCGAGAGATATGATGTACCTTTTTTCGTCCAAGCCGGTGAACTTCGATATTTGGATACGATGATTGGTGATATTTTTGAAAAAATATCACAAGACTATATAAAAAGTAATGATTTTACACAATTGATTCTTCAGTCAATTGAGCCAGTGATGTATTTATTAAAACGTCAGCAAAGTTTATCAAGTTATACAGAGCAAATTCGTATGCATTGTGTGAATTGCGATACAAACGAAAAACTAGAATTTAGCCAACGAATGCTTTTTCATATACTATTGTCTAATTCAAGTCCTCAGTTGTCACGCATACTGATTATATCAATGAGTAAACAGAACGCCGTACCATTTTTACAGCCGAACGTTCTCAATTGGAAGTCCAGGAATGAACCTGATGGTCAATACTATCTCGAGCCAAATATCATGTATGTATGGGATTATGCGACACCAACTTTATTATCATTTGGTTTTGGCTCATGTAATGGCAAGTCAACATTATTGAATCAATTATTTAGATCAACATTTGAGCAAAAAAATGAAAACTCAGTTTATTTTCACAAAACAATAGATATTGATTTTGGCTATAATTTTATTACAAAACGACCATTGAATATTGCTGACATGCATGGTAATTTGTCAAATAGTTTGCCTAGAAATGTTCTTTCATTATTTGATGGGTATATAATGCATGTCAGTTATTCAGAATTTCCTTCTTCCTCTGTCAATATCCAAAATGCGATTAATTTAATACCAATTGGCAAATATTGCATTGTTTTAATACGAGATAGTCCAGTGGGTTCGGCACGTAGCCAAAGAATTGATCATGAATTAAATGTATTTCTTGAAAAAAATCGAAATAGAACAGAGCTAATAATAGAAATATTGCCCAATCTGAACAACCTTTATGACTTGAAAGCCAAAGGTGCCATACAACAGCTACATTCAACAGTTTTCGAGAAAATGATAATTCCTGAGAAAGAAGCGTATGTAGAAAAAAAGCAGTTTGAGCCGTTATTAGATGCAGATTACATAAAGCATCTACATGGTACATATGCAATAATTTCGGATATTAAAGTTATGCTTTCTAAAGCATCAAGAGAAAACAGCGTAAACAACTTTTCACTATATTCTAAATTTCATGACTACTGTACTTTAAGACAAAAAGTAGCACGGGCTACATTTTATAATATAGATGTTGATGAAATATTTTATATGCGTTCACAAGCAACCACAATCAACGATGAATATCATTTTGAGATAATATCGTCACAAAAAGAAATTAGCTTTGAAAAAAGAAAGGAGTTATCAGAAAAATACAGCAACGAATGCGGTGAAATTTTTAGATTATTTATCAAACTATTATCTACACCGAACCGGTTAATGAATTTAGATTTATTATCATATGAATTAAAACAGAAGCGAGAGATATCGAAAGATGGAATCGATTTAGCAAAAGATTTATCAATAGAGAAGATTCTATCTATTGAAGTTTTGTGGCGAAATGCAATTGTTTGTCAAAAATATGAACAAAATATTGATCGCGAACAACTTAGTGAGTCATACTCTGAATACATTAAAGCTGGGTTTCCTTTTGAAATAATTGATGGTAATAATTTCTTTTTTCAATTTGATTTTTTAACAAAAGTTATGCATACATTCTCACGGAATAAAATATTGGTTATTAGTATTATTGGTCCACAAAATAGTGGCAAAAGCACATTATTAAACTATATGTTTGGTACATTATTTGATGTACGTAATGGTAGATGTACAAGAGGTGTATATGGATCATTTGTAAAATCTAATATACCATCGTTTGATTATATTATGTTACTTGATACCGAAGGTTTACTGGGTACCGAAAAAGGTGATCTTGAATATGACCGTCGTTTAATTTTATTCTGTTTGGCTGTATCACATTTAGTTATTGTTAATATTGCTGGTGATTTAAATCAGGCATTGAAAGATATGATTATACTCTGCGTTGATTCATTGAAAGAAATAAATGTAAATAAAATGCCGACACCAATGGTCCATTTTATATTAAATCAACGACCTGATACAAATCTTGCAAATAATCAAGTAGCAATTGACAACATTGTGGACCAATAATACTAATAACCAATATTTTATTCCGTGAGAATGTATGCATAACTTTTGTTAAAAAATCAAATTGAAAAAAGAAATTATTACCATCAATTATTTCAAAAGGAAACCCAGCTTTAATGTATTCAGAGTATGACTCACTAAGTTNGACCTGATACAAATCTTGCAAATAATCAAGTAGCAATTGACAACATTGTGGACCAGTTAAATTCTGATGAAGCGAACAAAACTATTACTATTTCTGTTGCACAATTTCATTCGTTGCCTTCCGCTTTTAAAGTAGAAAATATATTAAATAATCCGAAACTTCCAAAATTGAAGATGACATCGAATGATTTCTTAGAAGAAACAACGAAATTAACAAAAATTCTTATACAATCGGCTACTGTTAATTGTCAAAGTTCTACTGATCGTAGTGATCGCAGTGAACGCTATATCGCTCCATTGAAATGGATACAAAACGCTTTTACGGTATTTGATGTTTTACAACGCTTTCCGGACTTGACTCACTTCAAAGATCTAAAAGAAAAACAACTTGATAAACAAATACAAGATGCTATTCGAAAATTATTAGAAACCAAATTATCATCAACAGAAAAACAAAAATCATTAAATAGTTGTTCTGGTAAAACAAGATCGCAAATTGATGAAATATTTCAAATATCTTTCGATGAAATACATAAAGGATGTGAAAAGCGTTTACAGACGATTTTCGAAGAATTAGGTCCATCAGTTATAATTAGAGAACGATCAACGCAATTTTTAAAAACACAAGTATATGAAGCACGTAATGCTTGGCGGGACGCTGCGTATCGTGTTCATGATGAAAATGAACTTAACTTATTGGTACGTAATGGTGAGCAAGATCTTCGTAACTTGATCGACAAAACAATTAAAGAAGCTGCTGAAAACGGGACTGAATTAACAGAAGAAAAAGCACGAAAAATATTCAATGATATGTATAAAAAAAAAATTAAAAGCATACAAGAGCAATTTAATGCAAAAATACGTTTGCAAAATGCGGTCATTGCAGTCTATAGTTTATATGATATATATGAAAAGGAATGTTTACCAACGCTTGAAAAAATTCTTGATTATTTGCCAATAATCGAAAAAATAAGTAACGATTACTCACCAAATAGTCTAATGCATACTGACGCCAACAGTACAGATGATGAAGGTGAAATCAATGGCCAAAAAGTACGAAGATCAATTCCATTTAGTGATGCTATTGAAATCATTAGAAAAGACTTAAGTAGCATTACTCCTGAAACAAGTATGATCGAGACACAACATTTCACCGCTAATTTAAGTGCATCGTATACAGAAGAGATTATTGATAAAATGAAATATTTAAAAAATAAATGTCTTAAAGACATCTATTCTGAGGCGCTCCTTAATAGTGACAGCAACAAAAACGGAGATCAGTCAAACAAAAGTAACCGTAGTATGGTCGTTAGAATCATACGATACTTGAAACCATCACGAAACGTCAAGATTATAGATAAAAATTTGACGGATTATCGTTATACAATTCATGACCGTATATCAAACAGACCCAGCGATGTATTAGATGTTTCCGCCTGCTTTAGAACATTGTTTCAAAATATAGTTGATGAAATTCAAATTCCTTCCAAAAGACAGGAACAATATTTTCACCCAATAGATCTACAGTTAATACAAAAAATTGTTGGCTGCGTGAATTCATTAATCACACAAATTGACAATGAATTATCTTGGTTTAATGTCGTATTATCAAAGCCAATTAAAGCACGTTTTCACACATGTATTTTGATATTACTAACACGAATATATTATCATGTACAGAAAAATCATTTTGAAGCACAGTTATCTTTATTGAAAAAAAATAAAGATAGTTTGTTAAATAATTTTATAATGAAGACTGTGCATGGTGCAACACGTGATAGTGAATGCGCAAAAGATTTAGCAAATACATTATTAGAAACTATCAAAGAACAATTCATAACGAAAGCACATTTATCAGTCCAAAATACTATTCAGAAAAATTATGGTAAATTGAATCGTGCATTTTTATTAGATCTTTGTGACCAAAAAGTAAACCGAACAACAGACAAAGTTTGGATAAGAAAATATATCGAAAAACCACGAGTAGTAATGGAAGAAGAGTTCGAAAATGATTGGGATCGAACCGAACAGGCTGTTAATGACGAAATTAAAGGAGAAAAATTCTCTCAGCAACAAATTTTATCTGCATTTTTTACATTAATTCAGGATATTAGTGGCAAAATTCAACAAACATCGTTGGGGGACGACATCCATTTTATAAGTGACGCTCTTCAAAGTTTTGGTGGTGATGCCGAACAAAATCGTGTAAATAAAGGTAAATGCATGGCAGTCATTTTGTATTCTTATATCACCGGACAACAAATACAAGGCGCATATACTTATGGTACATTGCAATATCAACTCAATAACAAAGTTATAAATCTATTTAGTGATCTTTTAAAACCAAACGGCGAATTAATTACATTAACAAGAAAATTGAAAAACAAATTTGATCTTCTGACTTTGGTTAACTTTCCATTATTTTTAAGAGAGATTTTAAAACATAAAGAGTCTATTGTGAAACTATTTGCTTCTCAACCATGCACACTAACCGATATCAACCCAAAAATCAAAGCTGAAACGTTTAAAAAAGGTCAAGGTTGTTCAGAAGACTGTGAATGTTGTGGTCGGCCATGTGATGTAGATCATACACTATCTGGCACACCGATTGGAAAAAATGATAATTGTCATCGATGTGATAAAGGTCATCAATATCGTGCATTCAGAGGTTTTAAATATGAAACCAACAGCACAAAACCGGAGGATAAATACGAACCATCTTTGATAGCCTGTGAAGATGTCGAAGAATATCAAATTATACGTCACGATCGAAGCGGTTTCGAAGGATCATGGTGCGAATTCAAAACACGATTCCCTGCTTGGTATTTTGGTGACAACGCAATAGATAAAAAATCAGTAAGTACCGAGCAAGCACGAAGCAGATATGATAAAATATGGCGGTTAATTGGACCAGATTTATGTGCCGAAAATAAGTGGAAATATGTGGTGATCAACAGCAAACCAAAAGTGGGTAATGCCGATACCACTCCAAACCATTTCTTTTTTCTTGTTGATGGTTCCGGAAGTATGGGTAATGATAGTGAATCATCTCGTTGGGGTTCGCTGAAAAAATCTGTTCTCAAATTTGTTCAAATACGACAGATGCATATTGCTGATCGAATAACAATTATTTCGTTTGCAAGCACCGCTTCTATTACATGTGACAATGAGCAAATTAAAAATGTAAAAGATTTGATACGTATCAATGGTGGAACGAGTTTTTCAGCTGCTATTCAAGCATTAAATGAAGCATTGAATAAAATGAAACAAAAAGGATCAAGTTTAAATAATGTTATTGCGTTTATGAGTGATGGCGAAGACGCTTATCCGCAAGCACAGCTCGAAGGGCGAAAAAAAGAACATGGCTCAACAATAAAACAATGGTTTACGATCGCAGCTACTACTGATACGAGAATATTACAACACATGAATAATGCAATGAAGGGAAAACTGATCAATGTAGGGACAGATCTTAATATTGAAGGCGGACTAATGAAAGCATATGTTGAAATAGCTAACATAACGTAATTGCATTTTTATTTTATCATAAAGACTACTTTATTATTCCATCCCAGAACGAGCATTACAGCAACCAGACACGGCAGTATACGACCGTTTACGGCGTCGTATACTGCCGTATACGGCGATTTTACGGCCGTAAGCGGCCGTAAA